GAACAGTGAGACAATGTGGAGCCTCCCGGAGGATGGCGTCCTACCGTGGCCTAGCAAAAGAGCGTTTCTACTAGTAACATATAATAGATATCTACTTTTCAGAAAAGTAGATCATAGAAAATGGGAAATTCTGACAGAAAATAGGAAATTTTTAACAGAAATGGAAAGTTTTTATCATAGAAAACGGGAAATATCTACTTTTCAGGAAAGTATATTACATAATTTTTCGAAAATTAGATTGCCATAGAAAACGGACATTTTTTTATCATAGAAAATGGAAAATATCGACTTTCCGGGAAAGTTGGTTATCTACTTTCCCGAAAAGTAGATTATCTACATTTCGGGAAAGTAGATTATCGACTTTTCTGGGAAGTAGATTATCGACTTTTTGGGAAATATTACCTATTTTTCCGAAGTAGATTATCATAGAAAATGGGAAATTGATATCAGAGAAAATGGGAAATATCTACTTTCTGGGAAAGTCGGTTATCTACTTATCATAGAAAACGGGAAATTTGTATCACAGAAAATGGGAAATATCTACTTTCTGGGAAAGTTGGTTATATACTTATCATAGAAAACGGGAAATTTGTATCAGAAAATGGGAAATATCTATCTTCTGGGAAAGTTGGTTATATACTTATAGAAAACGGAAAATTTTTATCGTAGAAAATGGGAAATATCTACTTTGTGGGAAAGTTGGTTATCTACTTTCCCGAAAAGTAGATTATCGACTTTTGGGGAAATATTACCTATTTTTCGGAAGTAGATTATCATAGAAAACGGGAAATTTGTATCACAGAAAATGGGAAATATCTACTTTCTGGGAAAGTTGGTTATCTACTTATCAAAGAAAACGGGAAATTTGTATCTTAGAAAATGGGAAATATCTACTTTCCGTGAAAGTTGGTTATCTACTTTCCCGAAAAGTAGATTATTTACATTTCGGGAAAGTAGATTATCGACTTTTCGGGGAAGTAGATTATCGACTTTTGGGGAAATATTACCTATTTTTCCGAAGTCGATTATCATAGAAAACGGGAAGTTTGCATCATAGAAAATGGGAAATATCTACTTTCTAAGAAAGTTGGTTATCTACTTTCCCGAAAGTAGATTATCTTCCTTTTTATCGATTATCGACTTTGGGAAATATTACCTATTTTTCCGAAGTAGATTATCATCGAAAACAGGAAATTTGTATAATACAAAAATGAAATATCTACTTTCCGGGAAAGTTTATCTACTTTCCTGAAAAGTAGATAATCTACTTTTCGGGAAAGTAAATAATCTACTTTTCGGGAAAGTAGATAACCAACTTTCACGGAAAGTAGATATTTCCCATTTTCTATGATACAAATTTCCCATTTTCTATGATAAGTAGATAACCAACTTTCCCAGAAAGTAGATTTCCATTTTCTGTGATACAATTCCGTTTTTCTTATGATAATCTACTTCGAAAAGTAGGTAATATTTCTCAAAAGTCGATAATTTACTCCCCGAAAGTCGATAATCTACTTTCCCGAAAAGTAGATAATTCACTTTTCGGAAAGTAGATAACCAACTTTCCCGGAAAGTAGATATATTTCCCATTTTCAGGATACAAATTTCCGTTTTCTATGATAATCTATCGAAAAATAGGTAATATTTCCTCAAAAGTCGATAATCTACTTCCCCGAAAAAGTCGATAATTCACTTTCCGAAAAGTAGATAATTCACTTTTCGAAAAGTAGATAACCAACTTTCCCAGAAAGTAGATATTTCCCATTTTCTGTGATACAAATTTCCCGTTTTCTGTGATAATCTACTTCGGAAAAATAGGTAATATTTCCCCAAAAGTCGATAATCTACTTCCCGGAAAAGTCGATAATCTACTTTCCCGAAAAGTAGATAATCTACTTTTCGGAAAAGTAGATAACCAACTTTCCCGGAAAGTAGATATTTCCCCATTCTATGATACAAATTTCCCATTTTCTATGATAAGTAGATAACCAACTTTCCCAGAAAGTAGATATTTCCCATTTTCTGTTATACAAATTTCCGTTTTCTGTGATAATCTACTTCGGAAAAGTAAATTAATATTTCTCAAAAAAGTCGATAATCTACTTCCCGAAAAGTCGATAATCTACTTTCCCGAAAAAATAGATAATCTCACTTTTGGAAAAATCAAATAACCAACTTTCGGAAAGTAGATATTTCCCCATTTTCTATTTAACCATTTTTTCTATGATAAGTAGATAATAACTTTCCCGGAAAGTAGATATTTCCCGTTTTCTGTGATACAAATTTCCCGTTTTCTATGATAATCTACTTCTTAAAAATAGGTAATATTTTACCAAAAATTCGATAATTTACTTCCCCGAAAAGTCGATAATCTACTTTCCCGAAAAGTAGATAATCTACTTTTCGGAAAAGTAGATAACCAACTTTCCCGGAAAGTAGATATTTCCCGTTTTCTGTGATACAAATTTCCCGTTTTCTATGATAATCTACTTCGGAAGAATAGGTAATATTTTCCCCAAAAGTCGATAATCTACTTCCCCGAAAAGTCGATAATCTACTTTCCCGAAAAGTAGATAATCTACTTTTCGGAAAAGTAGATAACCAACTTTCCCGGAAAGTAGATATTTCCCATTTTCTGTGATACAAATTTCCCGTTTTCTATGATAATCTACTTCGGAAAAATAGGTAATATTTCCCCAAAAGTCGATAATCTACTTCCCCGAAAAGTCGATAATCTACTTTCCCGAAAAGTAGATAATCTACTTTTCAGAAAAGTAGATAACCAACTTTCCCAGAAAGTAGATTTTTCCCATTTTCTATGATAAAAAATTCCCATTTTCTATGATAAGTAGATAACCAACTTTCCCAGAAAGTAGATATTTCCCATTTTCTGTGATACAAATTTCCCGTTTTCTGTGATAATCTACTTCGGAAAAATAGGTAATATTTCCCCAAAAGTCGATAATCTACTTCCCGGAAAAGTCGATAATCTACTTTCCCGAAAAGTAGATAATCTACTTTTCGGAAAAGTAGATAACCAACTTTCCCGGAAAGTAGATATTTCCCATTTTCTGTGATACAAATTTCCCGTTTTCTATGATAATCTACTTCGGAAAAATAGGTAATATTTCCCCAAAAGTCGATAATCTACTTTCCCGAAAAGTCGATAATCTACTTTCCCGAAAAGTAGATAATCTACTTTTCAGAAAAGTAGATAACCAACTTTCCCGGAAAGTAGATATTTCACATCTTCTGTGATACAAATTTCCCGTTTTCTATGATAATCTACTTCGGAAAAATAGGTAATATTTCCCCAAAAGTCGATAATCTACTTCCCCGAAAAGTCGATAATCTACTTCCCCGAAAAGTAGATAATCTACTTTTCGGAAAAATAGATAACCAACTTTCCCGGAAAGTAGATATTTCCCATTTTCTATGATAAAAATTCCCGTTTTCTATAATAAAATTTCCGTTTTCTATGACAATCTAATTTTCGAAAAATTATGTAATATATTTTCCTGAAAAGTAGATGTTGGTAAAGAGTCCCAGTGTTTTTCAAACTTTTTTTACTGCGACCCACAGCCAGAACAACAATTTGAATTGCGACCCATTAAACCTAAGTGTAATGATATGAAATGAGTAAATCAAAGACAAACACTGTTCACAATTCTCCTTTATTTAGCATCGACAAAATTCATGTAAATTTCTCATGATCCATTTATATTTGAATTATATGTATCCAATTGTATGAAAATAAAAATATTCTGATTTATTTTCGCGACCCATTTTTATTTTGCGACCCATTTTTATTTTGCGACCCAATTTATTATTTCGCGACCCACTGAAGGGTCGGGACCCATAGTTTGAAAACCCCTAGACTATAGACAGTAGGTGAGGACCATCGTCTCCAGTCTGCCTTCCCACAGTAGAAGTGACCACCAGGCCAGTTAAGATATAGATTAGGTTAGATAAGGTTTGGTTAGCACATGATTTCAGCCATTTTTTTTCCCAACATAGTACAGTCTCCTCTAATAAAATCAGTCTTCTTTCCAAGTGTAAACAACCAGCCCATACGCAGCAACATATTACAAGACATCAACACGATATGTGGGAGTAATACAGTTCTTTCCTCTATGTCTTTATATTTCTGGCACGCATCAGCTCAGTACTTGTGTTAAGAACTTGAGTCACTTTGTGCAGAAACAAACATCATCAGGCTCAACACAGCAAGCGAGGCTGGTCGTTTTTATTGTCGAAATTCTGCAATAATTTAGTATATTTATCACGTCGTCTGCTTACACGGGATGCCGACGGGCAGATGGGAGGTTGGTCACGGAGCTGCCACATTCTCGTCTGCTTCACTTGCTAGCAATTAGTCACATGCTGCAGGTAAGTTAATTCATCTTCTTTATATATTTTTTTTGAGAACATTCAAGACATTTATGCTATTGAAAGTAAACTGTTAAATTTAAAGGTATGACCGGGGTTATGGATTTTTTTTCCCACGGCTGTGACACTACGACTTTTGTTTTGGTGCATGGACGGGTAGTCAAGAATGGCGGAGGAGTAAGGAAACCCTAACTTGAAAATCATTTGTGAAGTAGATCATCAGAACTAACATAACATTTAACCTGTCGATCTTTTATGACAATGCTGGTTAGATATGGTATGGTTGGTTCACATCTGTTTTATAAATGGTTTTAACGCTTATGATTATATTGATGGAATTACAATAAAAATTTTGAATATTAAAAGATTCAATTACGAAATCGTCAGAATTATAATAATTCTCTATATTTTTTATAATTTACATACGGTATTGTATATAAATATTCTCTGTACTTCGAGTATAAAAAAAATTGCATACCTGTATTTATAAATAACCCTACATAAATACTATTAGCATTAATTTAAGTATACTTCATATAAATTATTTTGTTTCTCTTGAAATACTAGAAACATTACAAATTTTACATGCACCTTCTTTCATGTGTTTAAGGATGCACGGAGGCCTTCAACTAGGTCCTGGCAACACGTTTCCACACCCTGCATGGGACTCAGTTCGTGGCAGCCAGCACGATGTAGCGTGACCAATCCACAGCCTCGCCAGTACATCTGCCACATGTCGACTGTGGTGAGTACTTGTGTAACAGCGTCAAAGTTCTCAATTTATCTCCTTGTGTATGAAGAAAAATATGTATATGCCTGTATATATGTCCCAGGGAAAATGAAAACTTAAATGTATAACTCGCAAACGTTCGCGCTATAGTAGTAGAGTTATTGTGTGTCACTTAGACATTTTATCAAGGTGTGGGAGTTCTTTCAGGGGGTCTGTTGTTGTGTTAGAGAAGGATGCGAGCCTCAAAATGGTCGTAGTTGTATTCTGTGGCCCCCAGGTCAGCTCGCTCACATGGACAGGGCCCCAGCAAAGCGAAATCGCCATCTGACGAATTACCTCCGATCATTTCCTTCATTCTTCTTACTAGAATCTTTTGGGATCTACGAACGAAAAGTAAAACGAAGCTCAGATTACACATTGATCATTACGGTTTTCATGAACTTTATCAAATAATACTGTGTTTAATAGTTATGTAGTCAGGAAAATAAGATATGAGGTTAAGATGTAGATGAATCTCCAACACATAGATTGCCTACCAAACCTCTCCTTGGTGATCCTCCTCCCAGAGCTAATAATCTTGACTTCAATATACAAAAGTGGGAGACAAATTTTTCAAATATTAACTCCTTGAATTTGTCCATTGAGTAAATTATCTTCACCTCTTAAATACAAACTGCCTAATATCCCCTTCTCTTGTACCTTTCTGCAAGAGGGATCGAACTCCATACATTCAAATCCTTTTGTTGTTCTCTGTTGTTCCTCGGACTTCAATCCTTCTTCATTATCGTTTTTTCTGTGTGTCTGTCTTTTACCATTTTTTATAATTCTCACTAAGTAGCAAGGAAAAGCACCTGACAGCAACGACACACATTGAAAGCTAATACAACGAGAGATAGTTGCTGAATAAACAATAAAACCCAACGCTCCATAGTTATAGATACCTGTAATCCTTCTCTCAGGTATCCATATAGGATTGGAGCCTCTTATACAAACTCTAAATATGTCACTCGTCGTACAGTATGTATATTACTCTAACTGGAAAGAAATATGAACGTAGCATTAAGAAACTATCAGGAACAATACACGTACTGTACCTTAGTTTTAACTGGTTCATTCCAAGGTTACGATGAAGACATTCCTACAAGCGGACGAAGTTTGCTGGGGGTGAAGGTACAGGGTCAAAGTTCAATATTAGTTTATAAAGTTGATTAAGGAGACTATTTAAAGTACCTAAGTTGATTTTATATTTTAAGCAATATCTCTTAATTTGGTTTTGAATATTAAATAATATTCTATGTTGATTTTGAAGGTCTTAAGTTGATTTTGAGGGTTAATTAATGCCTCTGGGTTGATTTTCAAGGTTAATATATTCCTAAGTTAATTTTCAAGATTATTTAGTATCCTTCAATAGCATAGTTTAAAATACGTTTAAAATATGTCTGATGGTGAATCGTAAGCCTCAACTATACCCCTCGCATAGTAGCCTCCAACACGGAAGATCTTCTCAGGACCACTAATTCTCTGGTTAATTGTTCCGTTGCATCTGTGTTGTGTGTGTGTGTGTGTGTGTGTGTGTGTGTGTGTGTGTGTGTGTAAAAGGGTGAAGAGGAGAGGAAAGACGTAATGTATAAAAGTTTTCATCTCTTGTGATCACTGAAGGGTTATGTGTTAGTATTTTATCATAAGTGTTACTGACCTTTATGCCAGGTCATGGTTGTAGGTCAACAGTAGAATGATATCTCCAGCTATTGCTTCGTCAAATGACAGAAATAATTTTTTATTCAATGAGACAATGTATTTCCATACCGGTAACCTCCCAGTTTGCCTACTCCCATTTTGTCTATTTCCTATTAGGTTAGATTAGGTTAGGTTAGGTTAGGTTAGATTAGGTTAGGTTTTTATTTAACTGACAGGGGATGGCCACTGTCTGAGGGGAAAAAACAGGGAGGGTTAAACGATAACAAGAAAGACAAGCATAAAAGGGAGGGGAGCTAGCAGTCCCAGCAACTTAATTCGTACTTTTCTTCCCGTGACAAAGCTTCGGTTAGAGGGGATGTAGGTGAGCTCTTTCTGGGAGATCCCTGGGTAGTTGTCGGGTCTGTCGCGGGCTAGTAGGAACCAAGGGATCCCCCAGGCCACACCGATAATGCCAGGCAGGTAGAATACCGACGGCCACTCTCCTAGGAAGTTGGTATTGCACAGCCAATCACCCACGGCATTGGCCAGCACCGTTCCCACATGCGTATCTGTCAAACACACACACACACACATCTCACATTTCAAAGGATCTGGACTTGAACTATCATTTTTTACAGCCTGTAATGATTCGGTTTGTTATTAAAAATTAGTGTGAGACATGGTCACATAATCTTACAGTTCAGAGGGTCAGTGACCTGGTCCTTAAGTAATCATGTTAAATTCTCTCTGAAGATGCTAAAAAGTATCGAATTGGTTCACAATGGCTCAGAGATGGCTTAAAATTTATATACCATTTTGACTCTAAATAGTATCGAAATTGAAGTGCGGCTCAACATATGTAGATGCGGTCTCTCATCTTCGACTACAGGACAGTACAGTATTAGCGCGTCAACTAATCTCTCAACTATATAAGTGTGTAACAGTACGCTCTCCTCGCTTGTCCTGTCTTCTTCCTTCTCGTTTTCCACCTCCTCTTTCTTCCTTTCTCCATCCCCCTTCCTCCTCTCTGTCTTCTACATCCCCTTCACCTCTGCTAGCTTACCAGAGAAGATCATAGTGGCGAACTTGGCCTTTTCCTTGGGTGGAATCCAAGCAGACATCATGTAGGTCATGGACGGGATGGTCACTCCCTGTCGGTATAGATCATACAGGTCACAGAACGGTCAGTTCGTGCATCATATATATCATGCTGGGAGTTGCCCATTCATAAGACAGGTTAGTAAAACATACTCACGAGAGGCAGATCATACCTATCATACACGAATACCTTCCTTTACACAGTTCTTGGCCAACTGACTGACTGTTAGTGAGTGATGAAGTAGTTGACATCACCCAGATGTTGACGGCAGTAACATCACCATGTGATTACTCTTTGCATTGGTAATCAACTGATATAGTACATACCATCAAATACATGATGAACATGTACACTTTTTTTCTGGTATAATTACTCATATAAAATGTATGAAGAATGGGACACATGTTGTGGAGACAATGAAATGGTTATAACTATACCAACAACTACTCAGAAGACTATCAGACTTGTCATTTGACTAACCTGGGAATCCATGTTTTCGTCGCACACAACAGATTCGAATTAATCACCCGTAAGACATGTCACCTGTGTTACACAAGTCATGAGTCGCACAGGCAGTCATGCATTGATTTCTATAGGTCATGGGTCACAGGTCATAGATCACACCAACCACGGATTACACAGGTCACGCACAGAAAAGACCAAGCCCTCCATTACCTGTGGTTCTCACCTGTATGAGGCCTTCCATTACCCTGAGGGCGACGAAGAGGCTGGAGGACACTGAGGCACACACGGGACAGTAGCGTCAAGACGTACGAACCTACCACGCCCATCCCAAACACGAGGCGCGGACCCAGATACTCAGCCATGCGGCCCCCGAAAAAATTTGGAGGGGATTTACCCGTAGAAGAAGGCCCCTAGGATGAGCCCCTGAGTCTGTTCATTCCAATCGAATTCTCCTTCCTGTGGTGGTGAGCGAAGTACTGGGTCAATCATGCTGGAGGAGACGAGGGGTACTACGATAACTGGGGCTCTCACAGGTGGTTCTACAACAGCTAATAAAAAGTGTTATTTAGTCAATTTCAGCTAGGATAGCCGACAAAACAACGAGATGCTTATTTCCATTAGGATCCTTATGCCAACAGCATCTAGTGACAGAAACTGTCAAACTCAGACTCAAGTAGAGTACAATTATACAAGACCATCAATCCAAATTTTGATGTTCATGCAATCTATAATACAAAGATAAAGGTGAATGAGCTAGAACGAGTATCGTGGACACGAATGAGAGTGAGTGCTGGAAAAGACGAGGCAGGACCGTCTGCCCATTGAAGAGAGATTGTGGTGTTATTCAGTCTGAATGTCATGTTGTTGAAGAGTGCTCCCGAACAATAGATATACGCCATCAATATAGTATTTAAACTTTTGTAAATTTGCTATATGTTTGTTGTGCAGATCATCGAATACTTCATGTATATAGTTACACGTCACCGGCCCATACCATTACCCACAACTATTTTGTATGTTTTAGTTTATTTTACTTCGTTATTTTTTTTTACTTTATATACTCGTGGTATTCTTCTATTTGTTTTTTTGTGTTACTGGTTGAATCGGTGATCTTTTATTAATGTTTGGTGTTTTAAAGTATTTACATTCGGACCATTTTATGTAAAATTTTAGTGTAAAGTCTGTATTCATAATTTGTGGTCAATAAAATATCTATCTATCTATCTACTGGCTCCAAAAAGTATCTTTAGGACTGTGCGTGAGAAAAAATGATACAATGGACGAAAGATTTTGACAACCCAACTAAAACAACAGGAGTCGCGGTGCTCATATTGAAATTCATCGACCCCTCCGTAAAGATACTTTTTGCAGCGAGTCTGGCCGTCACCGATACAAGTACTAACCAGACCCAACGTTACTTAACTTCACTGATCGGACGAGTAGCGGTGTTTCCAGCGTGGTATGAACACATTGGGGGGGCTAGGCACACACAAGGTACTACATCAAATAGGACATACCAAAGTGAACTCTACCATCTGGGACACATGGGTGAATACTACTTAAGTTAGGACGCAAAGCTAGGGCACACAGGTAGGGCGAGAAGCTAGGACACAGCTAGAACGCAAAGCTAGAGCACAGCTACGACGCATAGATGGGACACACACCAGTTGGAACACACAGGAGGTAAACAGCCCCAGCTTAGCCATACTGATGGAACATTACACCAGCGGTTAAGGTAGTGTGCGAAACATCCCGCTTGCCCCCAGCTGTTGTT